ATAACTAACTACTCTAATAGGAAAACTATACCATTACAGTAGACAGTAGGACCAGGAGATAACTACTACTCTAATAGGAAACTATACCATACAGTAGGACCAGGAGATAACTACTACTCTAATGGGAAACTATACCATACAGTAGCCAGTAGGACCAGGAGATAACTACTACTCTAATAGGAAACTATACCATACAGTAGGACCAGGAGATAACTACTACTCTAATGGGAAACTATACCATACAGTAGGACCAGGAGATAACTACTACTCTAATAGGAAACTATACCATACAGTAGCCAGTAGGACCAGGAGATAAACTACTACTCTAATAGGAAACTATACATACAGTAGGACCAGGAGATAACTACTACTCTAATGGGAAACTATACCATACAGTAGGACCAGGAGATAACTACTACTCTAATGGGAAACTATACCATACAGTAGGACCAGGAGATAACTACTACTCTAATGGGAAAACTATACCATACAGTAGGACCAGGAGATAACTACTACTCTAATGGGAAACTATACCATACAGTAGGACCAGGAGATAACTACTACTCTAATGGGAAACTATACCATACAGTAGGACCAGGAGATAACTACTACTCTAATGGGAAACTATACCATACAGTAGGACCAGGAGATAACTACTACTCTAATGGGAAAACTATACCATACAGTAGCCAGTAGGACCAGGAGATAACTACTACTCTAATGGGAAAACTATACCATACAGTAGGACCAGGAGATAACTACTACTCTAATAGGAAACTATACCATACAGTAGGACCAGGAGATAACTACTACACCATACAGTAGGACCAGGAGATAACTACTACTCTAATAGGAAACTATACCATACAGTAGGACCAGGAGATAACTACTACTCTAATGGGAAACTATACCATACAGTAGGACCAGGAGATAACTACTATACCATACAGTAGCCAGTAGGACCAGGAGATAACTACTACTCTAATAGGAAACTATACCATATAGTAGCCAGTAGGACCAGGAGATAACTACTACTCTAATAGGAAACTATACCATACAGTAGCCAGTAGGACCAGGAGATAACTACTACTCTAATAGGAAACTATACCATACAGTAGGACCAGGAGATAACTACTACTCTAATGGGAAACTATACCATACAGTAGCCAGTAGGACCAGGAGATAACTACTACTCTAATAGGAAACTATACCATACAGTAGCCAGTAGGACCAGGAGATAACTACTACTCTAATAGGAAACTATACCATACAGTAGCCAGTAGGACCAGGAGATAACTACTACTCTAATGGGAAACTATACCATACAGTAGCCAGTAGGACCAGGAGATAACTACTACTCTAATAGGAAACTAAAACTATCAACACTGTATAAAGGGATTCAGAAGGGATTCACTGTATAAAGGGATTCAGAAGGGATTCACTGTATAAAGGGATTCAGAAGGGATTCACTGTATAAAGTTCCTTCAGAAGGGATTCACTGTATAAAGGGATTCAGAAGGGATTCACTGTATAAAGGGATTCAGAAGGGATTCACTGTATAAAGGGATTCACTGTATAAAGTTCCTTCAGAAGGGATTCACTGTATAAAGGGATTCAGAAGGGATTCACTGTATAAAGGGATTCAGAAGGGATTCACTGTATAAAGGGATTCAGAAGGGATTCACTGTATAAAGTTCCTTCAGAAGGGATTCACTGTATAAAGGGACTTCAGAAGGGATTCACTGTAGAAAGTTCCTTCAGAAGGGATTCACTGTATAAAGGGATTCAGAAGGGATTCACTGTATAAAGGGATTCAGAAGGGATTCACTGTATAAAGGGATTCAGAAGGGATTCACACCCCTTGACTTTTTACACATTGTTGTTACAGCCTGAATTTAAAATGGTCACTGGCCTATACACAACACCCCATAATGTCAAAGTGAAATTTTGACAAATAAATTAAAAATTAAAAGCTGAAACTTCTTAAGTCAATAAGTATTCAACCACTTTATGGCAAGCCTAAATAAGTTCAGGAGTAAGAATGTGATTAACACGTCACATAATAAGTTGCATGGACTCAATGTTTGCAATAGTGTTTAACATTATTTCTGAATGACTACCTCATCTCTGTACACCACATATAGAATTATCTGAAAAGGTCCCTCAGTTGAGCAGTGAATTTCAAACACAGATTAAACCACAAAGACCAGGAAGGTTTTCCGATGTCTCGCAAAGAGGGGCACCTATTGGTAGATTAAAAAATGCAGACATTGAATATCCCTTTGAGCATGGTGAAGTTATTAATTACACTTTGGATGGTGTATCAATACACCCAGTCACTACAAAGATACAGGCATCCTTCCTAACTCAGTTGCCGGAGAGGAAGGAAACCGCTCAGGGATTTCACCATGAGGCCAATGGTGACTAAAACAGTTACAGAGTTGAATAGCTGTGAGAAAACTGAGGATGGATCAACAACATAGTTACTCCACAATACTAACCTAATTGACAGAGTGAAGAGTTGGAAGCCTGTACAGAATAATAAAAATATTCCAAAAACATGCATCCTGTTTGCAACAAGGCACTAAAGTAATACTGCAAAAAACGTGGCAAAGCAATTCACTTTTTGTCCTGAATACATGTTTGGGGCAAATCCAATACAACACATTACTGAGTACCACTCTCCATATTTTCAAGCATAGTGGTGACTCCATCATGTTATGGGTATGCTTGTAATGGTTAAGGACTGGGGAGTTTTTCAGGATAAAAAAAAATATAAACATTATGGAGCTAAGCACAGGCAAAACCCTAGAGGAAAACCTGGTTCAGTCTGCTTTCCACCAGACACTGGGAGATTAATTACCTTTCAGCAGGACAATAACCTAAAACACGGCTAAATCTACACTGGAGTTGCTAACCAAGACGACTGAATGTTCCTGAGTGGCTGAGTTAGAGTTTTGACTTAAAATCTACTTGAAAATGTATGCCAAGACCTGAAAATGGTTTTCTAGCAATGATCAACCAATTTGACAGAGCTTCAAGAATGTAAAGAATAATTGGCAAATGTTGCACAATCCAGGTGTGCAAAGCTCTTAGAGACTTCCCCAGAAAGACTCACAGCTGTAATCGCTGCCAAAGATGCTTCTACAAAGTACTGACTCAGGGGTGTGAATACTTATGTAAAAGAGACATTTCTGAGTTTCATTTTGACATCTGACTATCCACTCTGTTCAGAGATCGCTAGTATGAGCACCATACAGTGCATTCAAAAAGTATTCAGACCCCTTGACTTTTTCCACATTTTGTTACGTTACAGCCTTATTCTAAAATGGATTCAATTATTTTTTTCCCCTCAATCTAGACACAATACCCCATAATGACAAAGCAAAAACACGTTTAAGAAATGTTTGCAAATGTATTAATAATAAAAAACTGAAATACCTTATTTAACTAAGTATTCAGAAGCTTTGCTATGAGACTCAAAATTAATAATAATAATAATAATATGCCATTTAGCAGACGCTAAATGGCATATTATTATTATTATTAATTTTGAGTCTCATAGCAAAGCTATGAAAATTGAGCTCAGGTGCATCCTGTTTCCACTGATCATCCTTGAGATGTTTCTACAACTTGATTGGAGTCCGCCTGTGGTAAATTCAATTGATTGGACATGATTTGGAAAGGCACACACCTGTCTATATAAGGTCCCACAGTTGACAGTGCATGTCAGAGCAAAAACCAAGCCATGAGGTCGAAGGAATTGTCTATAGAGCTCCAAAACAGGATTGTGTCGAGGCACAGATCTGGGGAAGGGTACAAAAACATTTCTGCAGCATTGAAGGTCCCCAAGAACACAGTGGCCTCCATCATTCTGAAATGGAAGAAGTTTGGAACCACCAAGACTCTTCCTAGAGCTGGCCGCCTGGCCAAACTGAGCAATCGGGGGAGAAGGGCCTTGGTCAGGGAGGTGACCAAGAACACGATGGTCACTCTGACAGAGCTCCAGAGTTCCTCTGTGGAGATGGGAGAACCTTCCCAAGCCACTCCTCAGTAAAAGGCACATGACAGCCCGCATGGAGTTTGCCAAAAGGCACCTAAAGGACTCTCAGACCATGAGAAACAAGAACTCTTCGGCCTGAATGCCAAGCGTCATGTCTGGAGGAAACCTGGCACCATCCCTACGGTGAAGCATGGTGGTGGCAGCATCATGCTGTGGGGATGTTTTTCAGCGGCAGGGACTGGGAGACTAGTCAGGATCGAGGCAAAGATGAACAGGGCAGAGAACAGAGAGATCCTTGATGAAAACCTGCTCCAGAGCGATCAGGACCTCAGACTGGGGCGAAGGTTCACCTTCCAACAGGACAATGACCCTAAGCACACAGCCAAGACAACGCAGGAGTGGCTTCGGGACAAGTCTCTGAATGTCCTTGAGTGGCCCAGCCAGAGCCCGGACTTGAACCCGATCGAACATCTCTGGAGAGACCTGAAAATAGCTGTGCAGCGACGCTCCCCATCCAACCTGACAGAGCTTGAGAGGATCTGCAGAGAAGAATGGGAGAAACTCCCCAAATACAGGTGTGCCAAGCTTGTAGCGTCATACCCAAGAAGACTCAAGGCTGTAATCGCTGCCAAAGGTGCTTCAACAAAGTACTGAGTAAAGGGTCTGAATACTTATGTAAATGTGATATTTCCGTTTAAATTTGCAAATATTTCTAAAAACGTGTTTTTGCTTTGTCATTATGGTGTATTGTGTGTAGATTGATGAGAAAAATAATTGTAGCCAGTTTAGAATAAGGCCGTAACGTAACTAAATGTGGAGAAAGTGAAGGGGTCTGAACAATTTTTCCCGAATGCCCTGTATTTTAGGAATGAACCTAATCTGCTGAGAAATATTAAAAATGCTAGGGGAGGATTTTAATCCATCATTTCACTAGTTATGCTTGCCATATCTACAGACTGACCGAAACATTCATTCCCATATATCTGCTATAACTGTCTTACTTGGGTTTGATGGGGTCGTAGGGGGCTTCCTCCAGGAGATCATAGATATAGTTGTTGTATATCTCGATGTAGGAGACAAACACACTGTAGCTACTGTCCTCGTCCACCTCGTCCACCCTGCACGCCTCCTCTGGGTTGATCATGTCTGCAAACTCTGGGTCCAGCCTCTGCCTGAAACCAAGGGTTGGAACCAAAATTACATTTCCAATCGGACTATTCTGAACAGAACCATCAACTGTTCCGACCCACAAACTAAAGTTCTGAATTATATCAATGGCATTGTTGAATACTTGTTTCTGATTGGCTTGAAGGGCATTCTAGATCGTGCATTATTTCCCTATAATGCACAGTATATCGGCAGGGTAGAATTCAATGGCTTTCGTTCTGTTCTATGTTGAGCTGCTTTTGAAAGCAAAAGTCGAATTGAAAACATATTTGGCATTGCTGAATTCTATTTTCATAATGGCAAGCTAGGACTGATGGTTTGGTTAGCTAAACTAGCAAGTCTGTTTGTGTTACCACGGCCACTCCTCTAGTGGTCTAGTAAATTTGCTTGCCCTTTTCAGTCCACCTCTGGCCTGCCCTACCTGGCCTGCTGGCACCCCCTACTTGGCCTGCTGGCCCCCCACCTCGGCCTGCTGGTCCCCCTACCTTGCTGCACTCGGTCCCTACCTCTGCCTTGGACCCCACGTACCTGGCCTAAGTTCCCCTACCATCGGAATTCAGTCCCTCAACGTTCCCCAGCACAAACTATTCCTGCTCTGGCAACCCCATTGTGGAACAAGTCCTTCTCATGCCTAGGCATTCGGAGTCCTCCCACCTTCCGGAGACATTGAAATCCGCACGCTTTAAGGAATACTGGGATAGGATAGTAATCCTTCTAGCCCCCTTTTACCACCAACCCCCAAATAAAAAATATTATAAAAAATCATGTAAGTGTTTCATAACTCACTGGCTATGGTAATGCTAGCAATTGAAGTCGTTCTGGTTAACCACGCTCCTCTAATGGTATAGTAAATGTTTGACCTTTCTACCTGAATCACTGTACACATTTCTAGCAGCAAACGTGTTAAATTATAGCCATGGTGTTAGAGCCAATTTAGACATATTTGTATAAAACAGAACATAGAGCTCCATGTAGGTGTATATATGTATGAAATATGTGATTAAATATTAGGTACGTACCGTTATGATTTATATTGACCTGATTGAGATATAATCCTTTATTATTAGTGTACCTTAGTTTTTGGCTCCCCCTGCTGGCCATTCATTGTACTGTGGTAAGTCTTAGTGGGGGGGGGGGGGTCCTACCTAGACACAGGAGCTGTAGTCTTTTGATAACTGATGCTTACAAACAGGCCATATTATGTATTTTTCATGTCAAGTAATCTATGCTTTAAGTTGATTGGAGAATATGTTTTGTTAGATAAGAAAAATAAATATTTTTTGTTGCACCATATCCCTGGATCTCATTGAATGTTTTTGCCGTTTGGGTTTTGGGAACTTGGAATGCGTCCGAAAACAACCCCGCTTCAGGCTTGGGCAGTGACTATGTTCAATTGGTAAGCAAGTCACTACACAAGGTATAAAAGGGATAATCAGCTTGGGGCTCTACGCGTTCTCTGGAAAATAATGCAACTCCGTGGAAGGTCAGTTCCACTCCACTAGCGTGTCATGGAAAACACCTTCCACGTCATTCATTATTTTCCATAGAACGTATAGCCCCTCGTTAATTATCTCTTACGCAATGTGGTATACTACTCAATTTCATTTCATTTTTGTGACCCGAGTCTTTTAACCAAAATAATCGAGACAAAATGTTCAGCTGGCCCTTTAAGGGCGCGAGATTAACATGGTAACAGGGCCACTCGAGGTCATGTCACGTGTCCGTGTGTGATTTGGGACGTGACTGGTGGTAGACGGCACCTACAGCGTCTCTTCGCTGTCAGTTGAAGCAGCAGATTCAAACTAACATTGAAAAACAACAGAGTTTGTGAACAAAACAATGTAAATAGCCAAGAAACTCGAGGACAAAGCCTCACTTTGTTGACGTTCGAGTAAATTAGATTAACTTTTATGCCAGCGCCTCCAAAAATGAATCTATCAGTGTCTCACTCAGTGTGCAAAATTGTTGCTACGCGAGGTGGGTTTCATATTTCTTGTGACGTTACGAACAAACATAAAATACTTTGAAACACTACTTCAAATTTTGTGAATGTATCGCACAATATTGCCTGACTATTTATTCACAGCAAGCTCGCACTGTAGAGCCCGCAAATTGACCACCCGCAACTGCTGGTGAAAAGACTTCTACCGCCATCCCTAAACCTCCCCTTTGGTGGGTGGCCATTGTTGCACTAGACTCATGATCTATTATCACCATACTAGTCGCTATAAATACTTGTAAACTTCTACTTAATTTTATTTGTCGATTCCTATAAAATCTGTTTATTTTTTGCCTGATTCCACTTCCCCCTGTTTTTTCTGGTTTTCGTTTGCAAAATCACACGTGTTTTTGAAAAAGCCCTTCCATCTACCAGAATCCTTGTCATTAGCATCATCGCTAACGGCTACATAGTTGAAAGTTGCAGGAAATACGAATCACTGATGGATTCCGTTCATGTCCTATGATAAACTTGGGCAAATTAAATAATTTTCAATACATCTAGTTGATTCCCCACTAAGTTCAATACATTTTTTGAATATTGTTAAATTCTGTTTTAATGTGTGGATTCCGTGATTCTGTCCACATTGCCAATTTTATAGGCCCCTAAATAAGCACAGGGGAAATTATGTTTGCGGATCATTCACATAAAGACAAACAGACGAGTTTCAGGCGCCCTCGTTATAACAACTCACCTGGAGGGTGTTTTAGGGACAGTGGTTGGTTGGTTCTCTCTCTTCTGGCGCTCCAACAGAGCATCCACCTGGTTCTGGACCTCCATACCATTCTTATCATCGGTCTTCAACACCTGCGCATCACAGCGGAATTAGATATGGAATGGGACAGACTGGCACTATGGATCCAAGCTTGGAGATTTCTCTAACCAAGTCTCAAGTAGGACCTTTTATAACAGATGGGACGTTGTTATGGACTCAGCTTGACTTTTGAACAGCTTTGAAGATGAAAACATCCAAGAAACAATAGTTGCTTATTTTTCTTACGAATCGTTTGGCCTGGTAGGGCCCGATGCTGTTGAAGATCATGTCCAGGGAACGGGGCAAGAGTCCTCCCTGTCCTGGAGACCCAGTCATAGTGAAGGTCTTCCCACTGCCTGTCACCCCATAGGTAAACAGCAGACCTGGAGAAGGGGAGAGATAGACATCCTAATTAACAGACATTCAACACGGGATGGCAAGGCATTCCAGGGTCCTACATACATTAGTGCACACTGTAGCAAAACATTTTGCAACTGAAAATGAAAACAAGCTTTATTTATTGGACAGGTTCTGGTAGCCCCTCCCTGGTTGGTCCTGTTAGTTCCAAGTGTATAAACCGGTTAGCTGACAAAGTCACAAAAACGATGCGCTTCAGATGGGGCAGAAGGCTGGTGTTGTGTTATGATTCTCAAACGGTCAGATAGCTAGCAACAATGACAACAAGCATGTGGGGAATCGTAAGTGGCTAGTTTTCAGCTCGTTGTGTCCTTGTTATTGATACCGTGTCTTGTTTTGAGGTGTTTTGACTGATATCACGTCTATGCTAATATGGCATTAAATTAGCTTTCTAGCTAACCAACAACTATAACAATGTATTGAGACAACATGTGCTCATTGTGTAAATGTATTTGTTTTCTCTAAACATTGGAGAGGAAATATAGTTTCCATGTTGTCAACAATCTCAGCCAACCCCGTCTGTTTGCCCCATAGTTGAGCATGCGTAGGTTTTGTTGCTAAACAACCAACCCGTCTAGAACCGATGTATGCAGTACACATCCAGTAACATACCAATACAGGGTCCAAATCAATACACATCCAGTAACATACCAATACAGGGTCCAAATCAATACACATCCAGTAACATACCAATACAGGGTCCAAATCAATACACATCCAGTAACATACCAATACAGGGTCCAAATCAATACACATCCAGTAACATACCAATACAGGGTCCAAATCAAGTCATGAAAGAGAGATGGATACGGGCAACTCAGTTTTATTGAGCGCAGCAATGTTTTCACAGATGACCAGCTGTTGGCAATAGAATGGCAGATGAAATGGGATCAACCGGTTTACCTTACCATTTTTACTGTGAATGAGGTCATCAACGAGCGGCTTGGCAATATCCTGAAACAATTCCATCTGGGATGTCTTTATGCCAAGCACCTTCTGGAAGGAGTACTGCGTCTGTCAAAGCAAAGTGGGTGTTAACCTTTGGCTGTTAAGAGAGTTGGCAATAAACCCTTCCGCCTGATCCTAATACACATCCAGCACCTTGTTCAGCTTCAATGACACATGAAAAAGAGGGTACAGTGCCTTCAGAAAGTATTCATACCCCTTGACTTATTCCACATTTTGTTGTGTTCCAGCCTGAAATCAAACTGGACTAAAATCGTTTTCCCCCTCACCCATCTACACACAACACCCCATAATTACAAAGAGAAAACATGTTTTGAGAAAATGTTGCAAATTTATTTATTAAAATACTGAAATCTCATTTACATAAGTATACACACTGAGTCAATAAATGTTAGAATTATTTTTTAAATTATTCAAGCAGTTCAGCTGACAAGACTGAATCCAAACATTACTGTTGATTTTACGTGAATTTTACATTTACTGTACTTTACGCCACATTGGTTGATAACGAAATCTGAAAATACTCTGGATACATTCAGTAACATGATCAGAATATTCCTGTAAAATGTGGGGTAGATGCCACATAAGACAAATAAATAACAAGGGTTTGAGTGAGAGGACTAACTGGTCTCCAAGTGGCCACACACCTCTCCAAAGTGTGCACAGTTCCTAAGTCATTTCAATGCACGTTTATGACTGAAAGAAGAGTCTTCAACTTAGCTCTCCGTTGAGGAACCAGAACAAGCACACTTGTAGTTTAGTTTGGAACGCAGCCCTGCATCTCCATCGCCACAAAATTACTGTTGTTGTTTACGCAATCCAAAAACGGTCCGTTATAAATCGCAATCTGGGTCAGGTGGGCATCATTTGAAAGCATGTTATATTACCAATATGACTAGATAAATTATAAAATATGATCTTCCAGTGTTAGTCTTTCACAAGGCAATTCAGGGACACCGATCATAATTTTGGTGTCCATAGAAAGGAGTCATGAGTGCATTCAGGTGCATGTGCTGCGGGCGGGTGTTTGGCTCACTTTTATGACATCAAAGCAGTATTTATTATATTCCTCAACGTCTCATCTTTCAAAATACATCGAGGCTTCTTAAATTTACAACATTTCCCCTCACTCAGACAACAAAACATTAGCAAAAGTTGCCACATTAGAGGGAGGGATGGGACGGCTGTCAGACAAAACCCATACAAATCAAATCGTATTGGTCACACACACATATTTAGCAGGTGTTATTGCGAGTGTAGCAAAATGCTTGTGTTTCTAGCTCCAACAGTGCAGTAGTATCTAACAATTCACAAATCTGAAAGTAAAAGAATGGAAATTAAGAAATATATAAATATTAGGATGCGCAATGTCTGAGTGGCATTGACTAAAATACAGTAAATAGAATACACTATATACATATGAGCTGAGTAAAGTAGTATGTAAACATTATTAAAGTGACAGCGCTGTGAAGCGCAGAGCCAGAGCTCTGTCGTCATGTATAGCATGTTACTGTACAGCCACTGCATTCCAATTTTAGCATTTATCAGTGCCCAAATCTGCCACTTACAACCCGTATATGGGTACGAGTGTAAAGGGTTAATCAGCACTCCAACATTTTTGGGGTGTGTGTCAACTCATGCTTTTCACTGTTTTTTTGTCTTCAGCAGCAGCAGAGGAAATTGCTAAGATTTCACAAATACATGTCACACAGAGGTTTCACAGCCAGACACATACCTCCTTGAACTCTCCGTTCCTGTTGGCTTTGAGTCCATCAGGAGCATGTAACTGGATGGTGGTGTTGCTGATCACTTCAATACAACACTCCTCATCCTCCACTCCGAGAGGTCTCACACGACAGTACACCTGAGAGACAGCAGCAAAACAATACAATAACTATAGATGAAACAATTACAATGTGATGAACCTCATCAGAGTTGTCCTGTAGGAGTGGCCTGAGGTCCCCAACCCTTTCTCTAGTAGTGAATTAAGCCTGAGTCCCAAATAGCACCATATTCCCTATATAGTGTACTACTTTTGACCTACATAGTGCACTACTTTTGACCAGGGAGCATAGGGCTCTGGTCAAATGGAGTGCACTATGTAGGAAATTGGTTGCCATTTGGGGCGCACTTTATTCAACACTTACAGACATGGTTTTCATTGGCTTAAGGTGGCTGGATCATATAGCTAGCCAATTAGCTAATTTGATTAATTATAATTCCATGGACACAATTACAATGTGATGACGAAGCTCGATCAGTGAGGTGTTCTACAGGAGAAGCCCTGGCCGATCCCCAACCCACCTGTCTCCAGACATTCAATACATAAAGGTGGCTCTGTTCTAGATATATCATAGAACTTCAATAACTAATTTTAATAGGCTGTATGTTTGCAAATGGATTTAGTTAGGTCATTCTTGCCATGCAAGAGAATTGAGGAAATCATGAAACCTATCAGAGGCATCAACTCTGTGACAGATAAAATGTTCAAAATGTGCTGACTAGTTAGTAAGGAATGTTCTGTCGTTTACTTACACCAACTGGATCTTTCTGGTTGCTGGATGGCTTCTTTGGAGCAGGTCTACGAGGCGTTTTGCACTTCCTAAGCAATCAAATGGAAAAAACCAACAAAAGGTAGCCAAGTTAGCAAGCTAGCTAACGTTAGCGACTAGCCAATTTTTGCCTTAGCTGACCTGGTTGGCTAACGTTAGCTAGCTAACGTTAACTCGACAACTTGACGAGGTTAGATTACGAAACTAGCGGGCTAAAGATATTGGTTATTTTCAAATAACTTTATAATAAATCATTTTTATTGCAATCGCAACATTTATACTCACGTAGGTCGTATCATTGTGAATTGTTATCGTTTGATTTTCTTTCAACTCGGTTTCCTTCTCCTCCAGTTCGAACGTTCCCTCCACTCACCTCGCGGACAAAACGTTATTCAAATTCAACCAATCAGCGTCGACTGGACCACCGGAAGTTCCACCCAACTACTTCTGGGACAGTGCGGAACTTCAAAATAAAAGTCATTTATACAACACTGCCGCCTACTGGGCAGAAGCTGTAACTCGCAGAGAAGTTACAAAACACGTGTGGCGAATGCATGGAAATTGCAAAAAAAAATTAATTTTTATTTAACCTTTATTTAACCAGGTAAACCAGTTGAGAACAAGTTCTCATTTACAACTGCGACCTGGCCAAGATAAAGCATAGCAGTGCGATAAAAACAAACACAGAGTTACATATGGGGTAAAACAAAACAAAGTCAAAAATACAACAGAAATACATATAATATACAGTGTGCAAATTTAGCAAGTTATGGAGGTAAGGCAATAAAATAGGCTATAGTGCAAAATAATTACAATTAGTATTAACACTGGAATGATAGATGTGCAAGAGATGATGTGCAAATAGAGATACTGGGGTGCAAATGAGCAAAAATAAATAACAATATAGGGATAAAAACGAAGAACAAGGAGCTCAACAAATATTTTGAACTCGTGCGTCGAGTCTATATTGCACTGGTAATGTATTTTTTTATGTAATTTGAAGAACGTGCGTTACATCTGTCGGCCCTTAACCCCTGGCTGTCGGCCCTTGCCCCCTACCGTTGGCGTTTGTTATTGTGCAACCATCTAGCTACAGCAAATGTGAGTTTAATAAACTATGTCGATCCGTGTGGTTGATTCCAATGTTGTTCCTAAGTTAAAGTGATAGTTACCAAAAACGTTTGTATGTTTGTATTCGTGTTGAGATTTCATCAGTCATAAATTAATTGGAAAGGTCTAATTTACACAAATAATGTCAAATACATTTGTATTCGTCACATGCTTCGTAAACAACGGGTGTAAAAGTGAAATGTTTCCCAACAATGCAGTGATAAATAAAACAGAGAAAAGTAAAACACGTAATAATAAATACACAATAAGTAACGAACGATAAGTTGGCTATATACATGGGGTACCAGTACCGAGTCGATGTGCAGGGATACGAGTTAATGAGGTAGATATGTACATATAACTAGGAATAATTTCATTCTGTGCCTGTATTTTCTATTCATTTGGAGTTGAGGCATAGGATATCATATCCTACATCTGTATTTGACAGATGTTTAAAAGCATCTGTCAAATACACCTGACAAACTGTTTTGTGTTGAATAAGAGTGATTTGTTTTTCATTGCTGATTGTTTCATTTCTGCATCCAGCATACACGGCACAGGCAAAGAAGGCTCCTTTGCCTGTGCCAATCAAAGCAGAAGTCAAGGAAGAAGAATGGAGAAACCATCTCCAAGTAGCTACGGCAGAAGATGGACGGGAAGACCACACTGAAAACAGGTCTGCTAGGAATGTCACTGTATTTCCACTGAAATCCATGACCCTGCTAGTAATACCCATCATGGTCATGCCAACGGCATATAGGGGTTTTGGCTGGGCGCTTGAGGGGTGGTAGCATTGAAACAGGTTTCATGGGACAGGTGTGCTTTAGGACGCTAACATGCTGACTCCACCCGGCGTGCGTCCGCGAGCATTGCAAAGTAAATGTAACAGCGTGGCTTCCGTCCCTCTCCTCGCCCCATCCTGGGCTTGAACCAGGGACCCTCTGCACACATCGACAACAGTCACCCTCGAAGCACCGTTACCCGTCGCTCCCCAAAAGCCGAGGGAAACAACTACTTCAAGGTCTCAGAGCGAGTGACGCCACTGATTGAAACGCTACTAACGCGCACCGCTAACCAGCGAGTCGTTTCACACCGGTTACATACACATACTGTACATGTTATTCAATCATTTCACCCAAACTGCTCAGGCGCGTCTGCGTAGCTAAAATAGAACTTGGTTAAATCCACAGAACACACTGCAACTGCAACGCAATGCCGCAAGGCTAACGCAGTGTTCCATTGGAAATGATTGTTCTTCTGGTGTACCAAAACGCATGGAATGGAGGCCATCAAAACTCTGTTTTCTCATGCAATTGCATAGCAATATAGAAATGTTGCACAACAGGAACACTTATTTAATTCAATGCATCAACCAGCTACGAGGAGCTGTCTCTCCCTGTGCAACAGCTGATCCTATCCCTCTCTGAATTCCAGGGCTCTCATGAAGTGTTTGATTTGATTTTCGATTGCATTTGCGTCAGAGTGATTAGAGGGACAATAGCCCGCTGAGGACTGACCATTAGCAAGTTTGGTAGGCAGTTTTGGAGAAGTATAGATACCATGACCCAATGGTCACGTGGAATTTGACTGCGCTCATGACTCCTGACGTGGCGGTAATAAAACAACAACATTTTAGCAGACGCTCTTATCCAGAGCGACTTACAGTTAGTGAGCACATACTTTTTTTTTTTTCATACTGGCCCCCGTGTGAATCGAACCCACAACCCTGGCGTTGCAAGCGCCATGCTCTACCAACTGAGCTACACGGGTAATACGCTCACCGTAACAGCCCTAGTCTTTACCTGGCTAAAAGATGAGGACTATAATATCTATTGTTTACAGGAAACTGACTCTACAATTACAGATGAGGTTGTGTGGAAAAAGGACTTGTGCTCTGTTCCTTGCCTCAGGCTGCAAATGCTGCTCTCTCATCAAGTGATCATATTTTCACCCAACAGACTATTCTCAATTTAATCTGGTCTTTACTAATATGTAAAACTAGTTTAGATTTAGAATGGTCCATTATCAACTGGGCAGGAACAGGGGCAGGGGAAAAAAATACATGTAATTCATATGCACTGGAATAGCAAATGGAGGCCGCTTTCCCTCCAGTTCGTTTTTCAATCATGCCAGTTGGCTACTCTGGTTATTTCACTCCACATATCAACCACTGTTTGTCGACCATTCAGCATCTCGCTGCGGGACAGGTGATATTCCGCCCAAACTCTGTATGCCATGGGCTCTCCAACCCTGTTCCTGCAGCTACCCAGTGCTTAATTTGGGAAACCAAGTATTTGTATTTATTATGGATCTCCATTAGTTCCTGCCAAGGCAGCAGCTACTCTTCCTGGGGTCCAGCATCATTAAGGCAGTTATACCTTTTAAAAATATTACAATACATTCATAACAGATTTCACAACATATTAAGTGTGTGCCCTCAGGCCTCTACTCTACTACCACATATCTATAACACAACATCCATGTGTACATGTGTGTATAGTGCATATGTTATCGTGTGTTTGTATGTATGTGTCTATGTTTGTGTTGCTTCACAGTCCCCACTGTTCCACAAGGTGTATTTTGATCTGTTTTTTTAATCTAATTTTACTGTTTGCATCAGTTACCTGATGTGGAATAGAGTTCCATGTAGTCATGGCTCTATGTAGTACTGTGCGCCTCCCATAGTCTGTTCTGTACTTGGGGACTGTGAAGAGACCTCTGGTGGCATGTCTTGTGGGGTATGCATGGGTGTCTGAGCTGTGTGCCAGTAGTTTAAACAGACACCTTGGTTCATTCAACATGTCAATACCTCTCACAAATACAAGTAGTGATGAAGTCAATCTCTCCTCCACTTTGAGCCAGGAGAGATTGACATGCATATTATTAATGTTAGCTCTCTATGTACATCCAAGGGCCAGCCGTGCTGCCCTGTTCTGAGCCAATTGCAATTTTCCTAAGTCCCTCTTTGTGGCACCTGACCACACGACTGAACAGTAGTCCAGGTGCCACAAAACTAGGGCCTGTAGGACCTGCCTTGTTGATAGTGCTGTTAAGAAGGTAGAGCAGTGCTTTATTATGGACAGACTTCTCCCCATCTTAGCTACTGTTGTAAAAATATGTTTTGACCATGACAGTTTACAATCCAGGGTTACTCCAAGCGATTTAGTCTCCTCAACTTGCTCAATTTCCACAGTATTCATTA